TCATATGATAGCCCTTGATCAGGGGATTCTTTTAAAAAAAAGTTTATGCAATTTTAATCATTACTTGTGCTATAATTTATCCTTAAAATTTTTTAAAAATTTGACAAAAAAATTGTTGCCCGGATACTTTTGGCAGGTTGGTGTAGAAGCAGAAATATTTGAACATCTACAATTTCTATTTATATTAAGGACAAATGATAGAGATCGATTTGGTAAGATCAATAATTATAATATATTTTCATACCTATCGGGTATAATATTAATAGATAATATCAAATGATATTTTATAGTTAAAGAAGCTATTGTACAAAAGAATCAATTCAACAATTGATTTTTTGTGTAAACTACCAAAAAATTCCAAACTTCAAATTAGATCTTTATAACATATGCTAAATAAAAATGAAACAAAAGTTCCAAAAGGTATATTTATTTGAACTCTAAATAAAGAAGCATTGAAAATAATAAAGTGAAATAAGAAGACCATTTCAATTTATGATTCTGATATCTTAGATCAAGATGATGATAACAATAATAATGACGATAATAATGATGATAATGATGATTGATAATAATGATAATGATAAAGTAAGAACTAGTAATAGAAAAAAAAAAAAGGAAGAGAAAAAAAAAAAAAAAGAAAGAAAAAAAAATTAAAAAAAAATAAAAAATAATTAGATACCTATTGGATATCTAATAAATATGTGATAGGTACTGATTTCTCACAATTTAACCAATGTTACTAATATTCAAACAATGCAATTACATGTAATATCTGAAGATATGATGAGCTATACGTGTTGCCCAAATCCCAAATCATTTGGGATTTGGGATGCCAAAATCCCAAATTACTAGTATTTGGGATTTGGGATTTGGGATTTTGGCAAAAAATACTAATCATAATTTGGGATTTGGGATTTGGGATTTCGGCATTTGGGATTTTGGCATTTGGATTTTGAATTTGGGTGGCAGGTATATGATGAGCAAGTGGAGTAAAAGTATCTTTACTATATATTTCATATACTGCCAAAAATTTAATAGACTTTTGAAGTAACTTGTTAAGAAATATAAAAAAGTTTATTAAAATATTTATTAAAAATTTATTAAAAGAATAGATCAATAGAGATATATTACTGCATTGGCGTATCTTATCCCTATTGTTATTCCAATACACAAAATTATTATTAAAATTTAAAATTAAAACTATTACAATTATTATTAAAACTATTTGTATTTATTATTACTAAAATTATTTGAGAAATTATTTATTATAAAAAAACATAAAAAAGTAATTATAGATTATTAGGATTATTACAAAATTATTTGTTATTAAAATTATTTAAAAATTTTTGTTATCAAGATAAAATATTATATGGATTTTTAAAAGTTTCACAAGAGAGGAATCTCTTCTTTTTTTTTCTTTCTTTCCTACTATAGCTATTTTATAATTTTTCTTCTTGTTTATCTTCATCCTCTGTTATCTATAAAAATATTTTTGTACTAGGATAAATAAACAGTTATCCTGGATGATGGATAACACACAAGGATAATTCATCTAAATAGTGACACATATCATCTTCCATCATCCTCCGTGACTCTGGCTATTTTCATGTTACCTTATTATACACATCTCATGTCATAAATAATTTTTAGTGATAATTGTATATTCCTCACCCTTAAATAAAGTGACAAAAGATACCCTCCAAAAAAATAAGTAAAAAAGTAAACACGAATTTAGTAAGCATGGTCAATGACTTATCTTTATTTTAAAGTTATACAATATTATTAATGATACAATTTTTCTAAACTAAAATTAAAGAATTAAAGGATTTATAAAGATTAAAAGGTCAATTATTGAAATCTTTTAATTTCCTTTTATAGATTTCGGCCTCTTTTTTTAATAATGCAAGAGGTGCAGTTTATCAATTGATAATTTTATTTTGTAATTACTAAACCAACTAAAAAAAAAAACTCTTTATGATTTTCATTAATGAATAAATAATCGTAAATTGTTTTTTAATCTTTTTTTTTTTTTAAAAAAAAATATTTTATAAATAAATCTATTTTTATTTTATTACTTTGGCTAACCATTACTTCACTCATGTTGATAGCCCCAGTTGTTGAACTTGAAAAAAGAACTAATGATAAAACTACAGTTACAGTTATAGTTATAGATACCAAAATTACTGGAATTACATCTACTACCACAACCATAGATATTACTGAGACAATGCACCTAACTAACACAGTTTGTACAACTTTTACTACTTCTAAGACTAAGGTCACTACCGTAATAGGATCAATTACATTAACTTTTGTGACTATTGAATTACCACTGGTCGAAAATTGATAAAACATATACATATCGGGTACCCGATATGTGCATGGTGTATCTCTAATATTGGGCATATATCGGGTACCTGATAAGTGTAGAAAATATTTTTTTACACTTATCGGGTACCTGATATATATATAAAATATTTTCTACACCTATCGGGTACCTGATATATACCCGATATTAGGGACACACCATGTACATATCAGGTACCCGATATGTATATGTTTTATTAATTTTTGACCAGTGTCCTTTATCTAATGGATATTCATAAAGTTCCTCATTATTTATGGCTATCGCTATATTGCTAAACTATGGCCAATTTTGAAATTTGTTTGTTGCACATAAAATGACACGATTATTCAATGTAACAGATTCAAATATCTTTATTTGACAGCCCTCAGCAGAACCTATTTTATACATATCAAAATATTCGTCCAAACTTTCAAGAAACTGATCAAAACCTTTTATCATATTTTCATTTAAATTCAGATTCTTTTTTTGTTGTTTAAAAAATACAGTAGCTTCTGAAATTTTAAATTCAAACAGCTTCATAGTATAACTTAAAGAAACGGGAGTTTTATATCTTTTTTCCAGCTGTTTCTGTAAAATTATTACTCTACGCCGAATCTAAAAATATTATAAAAATTACTAAAGATCTTTAAATATTATGTAATATTTTGAAATATTATAATTATA